CTGGGAAACTTACCAGGCGGCTTTATCAACTAGCACCTTCAAAAGCTATGAGGCGATTGGAAATAAATGTAAGTAAAATCTTAGGACTCCTTGTCTTCATTACGAGAAAGATTCGGCTGACGCAGCTACAACAACTCCAAAGTTTTACTTTACTTACGTAGAGGGACGCAGCGGTACAAACTCATCTATACCAGCTTCACTACGTGCGGACAGGACCCGTGGGCATACTGACTATGATAAGGCTTTTATACTTAGCGAACAGGATATTAACGTCTTTTCTCGTGAGGCAACCAAATTAAGTTGAGCGTTGCACAAACTCCTGGCGGATTCCCGCAGTAGCGAAGTTACTTACAAGTCAAGTTTGAGGGCAAGAATAGTCAACACTTGTCGCTTGCCGAATTACGTTGCGGCCGCTAGTGAAAATTTCTTCACATGCTTCTCCATGCCAGTAAAGTTAAAGGAAAAGGAACGCAACTAACGCTAAAAGGTCGCCATATCGTCCGCCATGATTACCGCTTCTAACGTGCGGCACAGCGATTTATTGCTCTTTGTTACCCACTTGAACAACCACAAAGTAGGTATATTTGCCAACCATTTATATCATCAGGCAGACGTATTTACCATGTACATCTTCCCTTCATACATGTATACCTTCACTCTCAACCTAACCAACTTTTAGCCTAGCGTACCATACCACCCTGGCCATATTATGTCCATAACAGATTGGTTAGAATCCCGGTCCGGTGGTGGCAATAGCTGAAATTCTGTGGGATTTCGCCACGTCATTAAACATTAAACATTGTATTTAATGGGCAAAGGAAGCTAGAGGGTTACATGACGCATTAGGTGTAAATAAATAGGCTCGGGTCATATGGAATGGCGAAGCAAAATTGTACCGGGTTGGATTCGGGTGTTAGCGGTATCTTCGTCAGGCCTATGTGGCATTTGAACAGAATGTGCGCCGTTTACAAGCGAGACACCCTACCACGCCCACAGATACATCTGGGAAAATGAAAAGTGTAACAAACTGTAAGAACGTCTCCGACAATATGTAAAGCAGGAGCATTGGATGTAGGAGCATAAGCTGTGTGTTTGGTGAGAAGCGGCAGGGACATGACTGGATCTAGTGTTGTATGTAGGACTAATAAATGCCAGACTGAGAAGGTGCGCATAAATAAGCCTGGATAGCAGAAGGCAATTGCATTCGGACGCGGTTGTTTGAATAATTGGTCATTGTTTCGGTCGAGAACCAACTGATTAAGTTTAACTTTCTCAGTTCGGATCAGCACGGATTCAGTAATGGAGTTTCGTGCATGCCAAATTTACTTGCAGCTCATGTAAGTCGGGCTGACACAGTAGACAACGGTCATGCCATCGATGTGTTTCTCATTGACTTCTCAAAGGCCTTTGGTACTGTTCCACATCCACGACTCTCATTAAAGTTGAGATCGTATGATATGTCTGGAGGCGCCCTTAAATGGGTGTTTGCTTTCTAAGAGGGGAGAGAAGAGTGCGTAGGCGTGTGACGTAGTCTTTCACCTAGACAAGCTGTGCTTAGTGGCGTTCCACATGGCTCGGTTCTACGGCCGTTGCTGTTCGCAAGTTACGTGGAGGACCTACCCCAGGAGGTTGGAGTACCGTCGCTATCGTTTGCTGCTGACCTCAATCTTGCAATATTGTGGATATCCCTGGTGCTCTGAGAAATCACAGATTGCCTTGGATAGGCTCTGGGATAAGGCAACATTGTGGTTGATGCCTATACATCAAACGAAATGTTCTTCGCATTGGAGGTTCTATTCCTCCACGCGCCATGTAGTTGGTGGATGTGAAATACCTGTTGTCATTCAGCAGATTGATCTAGGTATCATTCACACCTCCGTGCTTAACTGGGGACAATTGGTTTACGGCTGATTATAGAGGGTTACGTATGATATGCTTTATTCGCTGCTCCCTCCATGTCCTGACGACCGATATCTTTGTGAAGCTGTTCTCAATTGTTGTGCGACTTCAATTAGAAGACTGTATATAGGCTTGTTCAGCTTGGATTGTAGGCAACGAACTAGAACTGGAGAGAGTTAGTGCAGAGAGTGGGGGGCAACCGTATCCCGAACGTTTGTTTAGCCTGGGTATGTACTCAATGCATCACGAGAGAACTAGAAGAGCATTGATCCTCACTTATAGTATCCTAACGGGTAAGATCGGTCCAAACATGTCCTGGCTATTTAGTCCCGCCAACCTGCCTAGTCGCTGAGATCACTCGGTAAATGTGTACAAACTACGTTCTGCTCAGGTAAAGACGGAAACTCGCTTTTAACGCCGGATTATTGAACGTCGGAACTAGCTTCCGGAGCACGTTTTTAGGGAGACTAGGGTCGAAGCGGTAGACAGTGGCTACGCTGAAGGCGTGCTATTCTTGGACTATACGAAACCTTTTGGCACTTTTCCTCACCTTTGATGCTCACTAAATTTGAGGTCATACGGTATGTCTGGTCGCGCCCTTCAATAAGTGTCTGCCTTCCTTGAGTGTAGGTAACAGTGCGTATGGGTAGAGCGTACTCTTTGCTCAAACAAACTGTCCTTAGTGGTGTCCAGCAGGGCTCGGTATTGGGGCATTGTTGTTCGCCATCTATGTAAATGACTTGACGGAAGAGCTGGGTGTGTCACCACGAGTGCTTCCTGAAGACCTTGCGCTCTGGAATATTGTGGATATACTGGGAGCACTGAGGCAATTCAGTGTGCAATGGATAGGCTCTGAGAATGGTTTCCCTTAAGGTTGATGCACCTAAATAAGTCCAAGTGCTCTGTTTGCCGGATGGGAGCTACTAATCCTCCCACCCGATAGGTTGTCGGCAGACAGAACAATGTGCACTCCACCTTCTCTGTTAGAGCACGTCGATATAAACACTGACGTCGTGTTGAAACTTCTCTGTGAGTTGGATCCTTACTCATCGTCTGGTCCTGACGACTGCACCCTTTGTTCCTCCAGACTGTGGCTCAGTACATTGCTTCACGTATCACGCAGGTTTTCCGTCGATCGTTTCAGTCCGGACTTCTCCCGACCGCTTGGAAGATGGGCATCATCAAGCCCAAATACAAAGGTGGGAACCGGCAAGAGCCAGCTAGCTACCGGCCCATCTGCCTTACATCGATAGTATGCAAAATCATGGAACGAGTCCCGAAACGGGCGCTTCGACTTCATCTCGAGCGGTTGGATCTGGTATCCATTGCCCAACATGGTTTTCTCAAAGCTCGCTCCTTCTCTACTAACTTGCTTATGGCTAGAGAAAAATGGGCAAATTCATTGGATGTTGGCAAACGCATGAATGTTGTGTTCGTGGACTTCAGTAAAGCTTTTGATAAGGTCCCTCATGAACAGCCTTTCTACAAACTCCGAGGAATCGGTATCTCTGAAAACTTTCTCTCCTGGATTTCCGATTTCCTACACACTCGTTCCATGTTGGTGAGAGTGAACGAAACGTATTCCGATCCTTTTCATATGACCAGCGGTGTTCCACAGGGCTCCGTCCTCGGCCCCGAACTCTTCAACATCTTCATCAACCATCTACCGTTGGAGCTTCAATCGGCTTGCTTGATTTATGCGGATGATCTAAATATATGGAAGGAGGTATCCTCTCTAGAGGATGCTGATCGACTACACGAGACGGTTGCTCTCCTGCACACTTGGTCGATTCAGTGGCGCTTACCCATTAATCAAGACAAATGTTCCGTCCTGCCTATCGGCGCCCCTGAACCACTCGGCGTGTACCACGTAGGTGGTTTCTTGCTCAAAAATGTTACATCAGAGAGCGATGTTGGCGTGATTGTTTCCTCTGATTTAAGATCCCCTCAGGACACCATGAAGAGGGTTGCCGCTGCCTACAGAATGTTTCATGCCATCCGAAGAGCTTTCTGTTGCTTGACACCGGAACTCTTTAGACTTCTGTTCACCTCGCATGTGCGCCCGATTTTGGAATACGGTCTCCCTGCCGCCTGCCCGCTTTCCAAATTCGAGCGCGACATGATCGAAAAGGTCCAACGGCGTGGATCGAAGTTTGTCTCCTAGTTACGTGTCCTGCCGTATCCCCTTCGGCTTCGGCATTTGAATATGTTTCCTATGGATTACCGCCGTCGGCGTGGAGACTTGATCTTTACCCGTCGTATCCTCAGGGGAGAACTGGGGAGAGAGTTGCAGGAATTCTTCCACCTCAACATCGGGAGTTCGACTAGAGGCCACCAATGGAAACTATTCAAGCCACGGAGGCTCAAAGTACGGTCCATTCTTGCTCTATCCACTCGCGTTGTGAATAATTGGAACCGGTTACCGCCGACAGTCGTTGATGCACAGACAGAGGATTGCTTCAAACGACTACTTGATACACACCTGTTGAATATGCCGGGATCGTGTTGCTTCAGCTACGAGTGGGACGGCCTCTCCGGAGTTCCCGTTGTGCAATGATCAGCATCCCAGCAATGATCGGGAAGCGGTGGAGCTGACAAGGGATTTCCCCTCCTGCTCGCTACTACCCCAATGAACCAATACCAGTTCTATTTCAACCTGAGCGCCAGTTAGATGCACTTGGATGACTATCAATATTTACCCTTCTCCTAACCGACTTGTATTTTCAACTATCCGTCCGCGTTTTATTTCGCCTTATACCTTGGAATTATCATCATCTAGCTGATGTTTTTCCCGTTTTTAGCTTACACTTCACCCTTACTTCACACAAACCGGCCTGGCAGAGACCGCTGGGCAGGAAAATGTGGGCAGTAATTCGTTGGACTTGGTGCGATGCGGCCTGTTTTAGGCTTTTCAACACCTTAAACAAACCTAACAATTCCTTATCTAACCATTCACAGAAAAAGGAACATTTACGGAATTGTCATATGGATCCGGTCCCAAATGAATTTGAACATTCAAGCGTATCCCAACATGGCTACTTGCTAATATAATAAATTATAATTAAAAGCAATCGCTTTAAAATGTCTTTGTTGGTAACAAAGCTGATGGCAAAGCGTGTAAAAATTGTTTTGTTGAATCGCTCTGAACCACAATGGCAGCTGTTTGCGTCTAGTTTGAATTTCGGATCAAACAAAGCTCAACTCCCAGTGTCAGTGCACCTTCCACTATGGCCCGTACGAAACAAACTGCCAGGAAGTCTACTGGAGGAAAAGCTCCAAGAAAGCAGTTAGCAACAAAGGCGGCGCGCAAGTCAGCTCCGTCTACTGGTGGTGTAAAAAAACCCCATCGCTACCGGCCGGGAACTGTTGCTCTACGTGAAATTCGCCGCTACCAGAAGTCAACCGAGCTGCTCATCCGCAAATTGCCGTTCCAACGTCTCGTTCGCGAAATAGCCCAAGACTTTAAGACTGATCTGCGTTTTCAAAGTGCGGCCGTCGGAGCTCTTCAGGAGGCAAGTGAAGCGTACCTCGTAGGTCTTTTCGAAGATACCAATCTTTGCGCTATCCATGCCAAGCGTGTAACGATTATGCCCAAAGACATACAGCTAGCCAGACGCATCCGCGGCGAGCGTGCATAAACATTGCGGTTGCACTTTTTAATGCATTTTTCTGTCTATTCTAAACTATTGTATACTTTGACAGCGTTGACATGGTCGTTGTTTAAAATATATAGCGTGTGAATTTATATTCCAGGGGCTTGTTTTCCTTTACTGGGTTTCGTGCAGTGTCACTCGCTTACCGACGTAGGGTATTTTATTTTCTTAGATGTTCTCCCAGGCGTACCGACTGCTTACTGTGGTCGCCATACGCATTGATACCGTTAGCTAGGTTGTTTAATGCAAGCGCCCAGTTCGTGTGATTGCCACTGTTCATAGCCTCACCACTTTGCATTGGCAAAGTGCATCCTTCCTGTTCAGTCACTTGTCCGGTCTGTGTTGCAACTCACTTTAGGAATCGAACACCTACTGGCTCTAAATCTCTTCATCAGTGTCGCAAGCATTTTGCTTAGGTGCCACTAGTCATGACTTGAGAGCTTGTGCTTTTTAGTTAGATAGTTGTCCAGATGACATTTCGGCTAGTGCCTGTTGCGCTGACTTCAGTAAAGATTTCAGCTCCGTGAATGATCGTAATTCGCTAGAGGCTCACCTAATTCGCGATACCTCAACTACTGACCTGGATAACACTTCATGTTCGGGCGAAACTTTATTACACCTGAAAGCTCTACTACATACCTATTCACAACTCGGAATGGTGTTTCCGGAAAAAACAACAACAGCAGTACATCAGCCATTTGAACTGACTCTTCGCTGCCATACAACCATGATGACTTATGAAATGGAAAAATAAGAGGAAGAGAGAGGGTACTTACCTGAAAACCTTAATGCTCTAAGCAAACATTCAGGGTGAAGGCGCCTACACCTTGTATAGACAACGTACTGTCAAAAACAGCTGGCTATCGGGCAAAGATAAGGCGGCATCGGCGAGACAGCTTCCTTGCGGCTTTAACTGCCACGCGTCATAACTGGCTACTGCCCCGCAGATAACTCAGCACCAAACACAGTTTAAACAGGCAATCCGACTAGGAGACGGCAGCAGACGCGCCAATGGTATATACTGCGAGCCATGTCCTGTAAAGTCCCGAGCCAAGCACAAGGCGAGTCCCGTAGACTCCAGCTTGGAAAGCGAGACGGACCAACGGCACCCAGTTTGGTCGTCAGTGACTTCATTTCCCGCTGCCAAGTCAACTTCTGTCTAACTCGGGCGTTGCGCCACCCTACACCTGGCAGACTAAACTAGGCCCTCCTAGGTAAGCGGTGACCAGGCATACGTAGCACGTGTCCGAGCCAACGCAACTTATTCAGTGTTATCTGTCGTTCTAGGGAACTAGCATGATTATCACCACCTAATACTCACCTACGCACATCGTTTCGGACACGCTAGTGCCATCCGACTCCAGCAATGCTTCGCAGACAGCGAGAATCAAAGACTTGAAGGCGCCTCAGATCTTCAGACCGAAGGCGCCAAATCTCACTACCATAGAGCAGAACGGCACTCACTGTGGCCTTGTATACACGACCTTTCAGACGAAGGGTAACTCCCTTCTGTTGCCAAAGATGCCGCAAGTTCAGGAAGGCAGCTCTGGCCTTTGAAATGCTTGAGCCTCGCTCGGTTTCTATGCGCCCATCATTGCTGATGCAGCTGCCAAGGCAAATGAACTGATCAACCACCTCGAGTTCCTCTTCAGCAAGGGCCAAAAGGTCATAAAGTGACTGGTGGTCATGCAGCAACACTTCGCACTTTGAAGGTGCGAAGTGCATACCAAATAATGAGACCAGTCTAGACAGGCTATTCAAGGTTGATTGTGCCACCGCAACATGATCGAAAAGGAAGACGATATCGAAAATCAAGATCAACTAATCTTTCACCAGGCAGGACCTCAACGCCTGCAAGGTGAGATTACGCAAGGAACACTCCATGATAGAATCTACGATGAAACTGAACAAAAATGGGGAGATCGAACAACCGTGACGAACGCCAAGTGTGGTCAGAAAGATATCCGATGGGCTACCGTAGACCCTCATGCGGCCTGTAGTGTTCGAGTACAGAGCACGTAGGATGTTCATATATTTCGCGCAAGTATTCGAAATACAGAATCGATCGATCAACGGAATCGAAGGCACACTTGAAATCGTCGGTCTGAGGTATGCGTGGCTGTGCTCTAGCACCTGCCGTAAAGTGAATATATGGTCTATCCAGACCACACCCTGGGTGGAAACCGGCTTGCTCTACCCTAATCCGAGATTCCCGTTCCGGAGCGAGGTAACAAACGGGAATCGAGGCCAGTATTTTTGTCACAATTAGCGTTAGGCTAATACCCCTCTGGTTAGAACAGTCTGCGACTGCCCTTGTATATTGCCACTATAATCGATTCGCTCCAACCAACCGGGACACTTCATTCCAGATACGTTCGAATGGGGAGGTCAGTGCTTTGCAGAGGACCTCACTTCCATCCTTAAGTAGTGCACGTGGGAAGGCATCTGGGCCAGCGGTAAGAAAACGATTGAGAGCTGTGATTGCGTTTCGGGACATTACTCTCGCCCTGAAGGGCAGAGTTTACAACGCAGCCGTCCGTTCAACTCTCCTATATGGCTGTGAAACCTGGCCCATCAGGTCGACAGACATAAAGAGGCTCGTCATGTTCGATCATCGCTGCCTGCGCAGCTTAGCTCATGTCTGGTGGGAGCACCGCGTGAGCAATAAACATGTTCGACGTCGTGTATTTGGTGCAGGAAGAGCGAGTGAACCGCTCAGCACCATTATATCACGCACCAGGCTCCGATGGCTGGGCCACGTGTTGTACATGCCAGCACACCGACTCCCGCGACGTGCATTGTTTGCGCGTTGTGGGTGCGGTTGGAAGAGGAGAGGAGGCCAAGTGATGACTTGGTCGAGAGAAATGAAAACCCTCACTTCGAAGTTGGCGTCGGTTAGTGCATCCCGACTGCATGGCTGGGGTCCTAAGGACGGTGAACACGTTTGGTTGGACACACTTGCTGATATGGCTTGGAGCCGACCCCAATGGCGTTTGTGTTGTGAGTTCCTTTGTCCATCCCCCTCCTGCTTAGCATCCCCTCCAATCACGATCTCACTTGTTAGGCATAATATGACTCACGTTTACGGCAGCCAGCTGTTAGCTCTCCGGAACGATGTCCATCCGTTACTCCGTCGCAACGAGACTGGACCTTAACGTGGTGCGACGGTTTGCGTACTTCACTGACCCATTGAGCTATACTGGGTGATGCCTCCGAGCATCTTGAGAGCTACTACCAGGTTGGTCAATGGTGAGAGGTCAGACAAACTCAGTCTCCTGGTCCTCCAGGTTGGGGGTTTGAAATGGGATGGCGTCCATTTCTGTAAAACTTAATCACTGCCACCCCGCTGCCTTGCGGACAGGCTTTTGAGCCAAAGGCTTTGGATGAGGACCCTAATCGTTCTCCTGTTTAGGTCTGGGCGCCCTGGCAGTATCCCTGCCCACATACAACCATGACATTTTCTTCAAACATAAACTATATCCTGCATCGGCCGTCGAGCAGATTATCAAGGGTCGCCTTATCTGCTGCATACAGCAAGGCGGATAAGCGAAAGCATGCTACTGCTGGTGCCTCCCTTCTTTCTTTTCCACCTTTTTCTCTTACTCCCATCCCGGCCCCCATTACTAACCTTCCTTCTATAATTCCCAGCTTTATTGACAGCAGCCGAAGTGCTACTGGGGTAGTACCATCTGCAGCCACCATCCCACAGCACCTATCGGACGCCTATCGGCAAAAGTTCCTTATGAGGCCACGCTGTCCCGTTTCCATGGCGACATTCAACGTCCGCACTCTAATACAAACAGGTCAGCAGGCTGCACTCGCACGCACCTTGGACACACTGGGTTTTGATGTGTGTTGTGTGTCCGAAACTAGGATTAATGACCATAACGGGGTTATTGAATTGACTGCACCCGGCTTATCCTCTCGTTATTGGTTGCACGCATCCGGAGACGCCGATACAGCACTCACGGGTCAAGCTGGTGTAGGTATCATTCTCAGCTGCAAGGCTGAGTCATCGTTGGTTGATTGGATTCCGGTGAACAGCCGTTTATGTGCAGCCTGTTTGACATCAGCTAAGGTGGATTCGCGAAGTAAAACAAAACGCTGTTTGTTTGTGATTTCTGCTTATGCTCCCACCGACTGCAGTTCTAATGCAGTCAAGGACACTTTCTATCACGAACAGAACACGCTGCTACGCAGTGCTACTAGTTCAGATATTATAGTACTTGCAGGGGATATGAACGCACAAGTAGGGCGTCTGAGCTCTTCAAAAGCTCAGCTGGGTGGTAAGTATGGACTTAACGCCGAACGGACTGACAACGGCGAGCGTCTGCTACAACTGTGTGCGGAGCACCAGTTGTTTCTTACTAGCACTGCTTTTAGACACAGTGGGCGCCGAAGTGCCACTTGGCGTCCACCTGTAGCTGGCCAGCGATGGACCCAAATTGACCACATAGCCATAAGTTACAGGTGGCGCGGTTCCATTCTGGATTGCCGCTCGTACTGGAGTACCTGTGTATACTCTGACCATGCCTTGGTGCGCTGTCGTTTCTCCATGAACTTTACCGGGAGGCGCACAAAGCGTCTCCCCTGATTGGCAACGGAGAAATTGTCCCAGCCCTCTATCAGGCAAGCCTATCAAGAAGCACTGCATAGCGAACTCTCGCTGTCTTGTCCTAATGACACTGAACTTCAGTGGAATAGGATCTCGGCCACTATGCACGACGCAGGAACATCTGTTTGTGGCACTATCAGTCGTCATCGCACCAGTCACTGGATATCCGAGAGGTCAGTGAACCTTTTGGAAGCTAGAAGGCACCTCCCGGCTGGTTCTGAACACAATGTGACCAGACGGGCTATTAGGCGTGAATTAAAGCGGAGCCTACGTGCTGACAGGGAAGCCTGGTGGACCAGTCGGGCTCAAGAAATGGAGGAGGCAGGAGCAGTAGGCAATTACCGGAAGCTCTTCCAGCTAATACGCACCACTGGTCCGAGAAAACCAGGCGTCAGTGAGACAATCAGGGACAGCGCGGGTGCGCTGATACACAATGAGGAGCGCCGTATGGCTCGTTGGGCTGAGCACTTTGAACAGTT